GCTGCCTGGACCTTAAGAAAGAGCAAGCAGTCCAAGCAAGGTTCTCAGCAGATACGCAACGGGCGCACACAAGCAAGCCAGGTTCAAGGAGGGCGGCAAGCAGGGCCTGAGCAGCAAGAAGCCCTTCCCGAAAAAGGAGCGGAACTTGAAGGCCAATGGGCCAGGGGCTTGCATCTCAGTTCGCACTCCTTTAAAAGCTGTGTCACCCATTCCGGATTGTTACAAATCCCATAAGCTAGTCGCCCAGTCTCCTTCAGAACTAAAATAGCGCGCTTTGCAAATGTCCCTGGGTAACACCAATGCACCTCGAACGCCACGCATTTCTCCTCCTGAGAATACAACACAAAATGGGGCACAACAGCGGTGGCCCTCACGCCTGTAATCCTAGGCCATCCTGGGAGGCAGAGGAGCCAGAAAAAAAGCTCAAGGTCAGGAAATATACAAAGACCACCTAGAGCAGGAAGACGACCCACTAGAGGATCTCGCTATATAGAAAAAATTAATTGGACACTAAAAATATATAGAAATAAATGAGCCGGGCATGGTGGCCCGCATGCGCTGTAGTCCCAGCTACTGCCGGAGGCTTGAGGCAGGAGGATTGCTTGAGCCCAGAGTGGGAGGTTGCTGTGAGCGAGGCGGACGCCACGGCAGCTCACTCTAGGCCTGGGGGCAACAGAAACAAAAAAAAAAAAAGACCCTAACTTCACAGATAATAAAGAAGGCTGACGCCATGGCACTCACTCTAGCCTGGACAACAAAGCGAGACTCTGTCTCAAAACAAAAGAAAAAAAAAAAAGAACTTTAAGGTGGGTGAGGCCTGTGTGTTACTCACGTCAGGCCCAGAGAACGCAGCTTCTTTCTTTAAAAACCAGCACCCTGGCCAGGCATGGTGGCTCACACCTGTCATCCTAGCACTCTGGGAGGATGAGGTGGGCATATTGCTCGAGGTCACGAGTTCAAAACCAGCCTGAGCAAGACCCCGTCTCTACCAAAAATAGAAAGAAATTAAATTAATTGACCAACTAAAAAATATATATATACAAAAAATTAGCCAGGCATGGTGGTACATGCCTGTAGTCCCAGCTACTCAGGAGGCTGAGGCAGGAGGATCGCTTGAGCCCGGGAGTTTGAGGTTGCTGTGAGCTAGGCAAACCCTTGGGCCAAACCGATCCTCCTGCCCTCAGCCTCGCCAAGCTAGCCTGGGTACTTAAAACAAGTCCGCCGCGGGCATGGCCCAACCATGGCTGTGCCTAATTTTTTCTATATATTTTTAGTTGGCCAATTAATAATCTATTTATAGTAGAAGACGGGGTCCC